TTCACTGAACAAGACAACAAGGGCCAACAGTGTAACCATCTCCAACGTCTTTGTTGTCCACCAGATCAATCAAACTTCTTCTCGGAGCAACCGGAAGGAACGCGCTATGCCGCTCGCAGTACGAGCTCAATGGGAAAATAATGAAGAATCAATTAAATTACGATTTCGAGCCAAGATACCTCATAACGTCGGTATGTGTGACGATGTTTGCACAACGTGTGACGCCCTACATTGGGTAAGCGAACGAACGCGCGACACGAAGAAATCGGGACCGATATACTCTACTTGCTGTCAAAGTGGTCAAGTCCTGCTACCTGAACACTACTTTGACTTCCCGCCCGTGCCAGAATTTTTGCGAAAGTTATTCACGGGCAACGACTCGCGTGCGTTGAGAAAACTATCCCTGAATCAAAAGTTAGGAGCTGACGATATATCTTATCCAGGGAGTAAGAATTTTCAAGACAACATTCGCGCATACAACAACTGTCTGTCGTTTACTTCTCTCGGTACGGAGGTTAAACACAATGTAGATGGTCCATTTGGTATTCGGTGCTTTAAAATACAAGGAGCTCTTTACCACGACATGGGCCTTATCTTGCCGAGGCCCAGCGCCAAACCGGCATTTGCTCAAATTTACGTCATGAGTAACGAGATTGCTAACGAGGCGGCCCATCGGAAATTCATGTCAGGTTCCAAAACGCTTCGACTCAATATTATCCAAGAAATACAAGATTTTATGTATGAGCATAATCCCTATGCACGAAAGTTTAAAATGGCTAAGCAAATTATAGAAGAGGCGAAATCAGTTTCTTTAAATCTCAAATCCATTCCGCCTACCAAGTCAGGATCGGCAGGTCATGACATTCGAACTTACTGTAGACCAACTGCCACTGAGGTCGCGATGATTGTCGCCGGAGGTGGTGCAGTTGGTGAAAGAGATCGTGATCTCATTCTGCATAGTGAAGAAGGAGCGTGGGAACGAATATCCGAAAGACACACAGGCTACTTACCGCTGCGATATCCACTTTTGTTCCCATGGGGTCAAGCTGGATACGACGAGTTCTATAGAGTACCGACTCCCGACAGTCAGTGTTTCAGCACCTTTATAGAAGTTTATAATCTAACCTGCTTTTTTTCCAGATGACGGGCCGACAGTAAGTTCTTTACAATGGTTCGCGTATCTATTATTTCAGCGGAAAGACGAATTCTCCGCAATTTTGTCTTCGAAAATGCTCCTTCAAGAATTCTCAATTGATCTTTATGCCTGTGTTGAAAATCAACGTTTAAACTGGTTTAGATTGAATCAAGATGTACTATATGCGGAACTTTACTCTGGAGCGAAAGAGTCTTTAGGTCGCAATGATTTCCAAATTGGTAGACGGGTTATCCTGCCGGCAGGCCATATTGGCGGCGCTAGGAATATGACTCAGCTCTACCACGACGCGATGGCTCTGGTTCGACATTTCAGGCAACCGTCATATTTTATCACGATGACAGCCAACGATAATTGGCCTGAGATACAATCTGCGCTTCTGCCGGGGCAAATTGCAATGGATCGACCTGAATTGATGGTTAGAGTATTTCAGATGAAGATGAAAGCAATGATGAAGGATGTGAATAAGCAAAGTCGCCTGGGTAAATGTCTCTCTCATGTACGGACCATCGAATTCCAGAACCGCGGCCGCCCACATCTGCATTTTATACCGATTATGGAGCCTGCGTCATGTCCTAGAATGCCAGATGCTGTTAGACTTGGTAGTCCGCGCCGAAATTCCTGATCGCGAGCTCGAGCCTGATTTATGGGAAATTGTGACGAAATCAATGCTTCATGGTCCTTGCCGCGAGGGTAGTAGCTGTTGGAGAAAGGGCAAATGTCGATTTGATTTTCCAAAGGATTACGCGGAAGAAACTACAATGACGGACGACTCTTACCCCAACCATCGAAGAAGAAATAATGGCAGAAATTTTAAGAAGGGCGGCTACACATACACAAACAGAGACGTTGTCCCGTACAACCCCTATTTATTACTCAAGTTCAATTGTCATATAAATGTTGAGGTCGCTTCCAGCATGCAAGCCTTGAAATACCTATACAAATATATTACGAAGGGGCACGATAGAGCTGCGCTTTCAATCACCGCCGAAAATGAAATTGACACTTACGTTGATGGACGGACGCTCACGGGAACTGAAGGTACGTTTAATACATCACATTTGAACGGACAAAACTGAGACCATTGATGTCACCCTGCAGCGTGTTGGAGACTATTTGAATTTTGGATGTCTTCACGGTTTCCAGCCATTCAAAAGCTGACAGTTCACATGCCGCGAGAAAACACTGTATATTTCAAAAACAAATGGTCTTTAAAAAACCAGATCGAGTCTGGTAAAGCTGCTAGAACGACATTGACCGAATTTTTTGCGCTTTGTAAAGCCAACGTCAAAATCAAGGACGATACAGAGACAATCCGATCTCTGACGTACCCTGAAGTAGTCTATTACTTCACGTGGAATAAAGACGCCAAACGTTGGAAACCCCGGGTTCAAGCTTCAAAGACGATCCCAAGGGTGTTCTACGCCAGCCTAACTCAAGGCGAGAGATACTTTATGCGTCTCCTCCTTATGAATGTCAAGGCGCCAACCTCATTTGACTATTTGAAGACGTTCGAGGGTGTCGTACACCCTACATTCAATGCGGCGGCAGTCGCACGCGGCCTTCTCCTTAACGACGACCACTACATCGCCGCTATGGATGAGTGCGCCAGAGTACATAGTGCATATCAATTACGAGCAATGTTTGCAATTATCCTCAAGTTCGGGCCACCTTCTGATCCTTTGCGAATATGGAATCAATTCGCCATCTATTTATGTGACGATTGCAAGTACGCTATGATGCAATATAATCCTGACGAAATTCCAACGTCGGAAATGGTCACCGCATTGGGTCTCTGCAGAATGGCCGTTGCACTCGAGGAAGTAAATCTGACGCTGACCGGAGCCGGACTCCCGCAGCCAGACACACAAATACTGAGATCCTATGCAGCTTTGATTTCACTAGACGAAGAGAATGACATCACGAGTGAAGAAAGCATGATGATTCTGGAGAAGTCGTTAAATTTGATGAACAACGAACAGCTGGCTGTGTTTCACGACATAAGAGATGGAATCGTTGCAGGAGACGGCGGTTTACATTTTCTAGACGGACCCGGAGGTACCGGAAAGACATTCCTGCTAAATGCGATTCTGCACTACTGCAACGCTCTGGAACACCAAGTCGCGGCAGTTGCGTCATCTGGCATCGCGGCCCTAATACTTTTGAAAGGTACAACAGCGCATAGCGCTTTCAAAATCCCTATTAATGCTGATGATGACTCTCGATGTAAACTCTTGGGAAAAGACAAATTGAGTAATAGGCTGAAATGTATACAACTAATTGTTTGGGACGAAGTATTGATGCAAAACAAAAATGATATCCACTGTGTGGACCGTGCGCTGCGCGAGTTGCGAGGTCGAGACGTACCGTTTGGGGGTGTCATGGTTTTCTTTTCTGGCGATTTTCGGCAGACCCTGCCGGTTATTCCACGAGGTTCCATCACACAACAGGCCAAAGCTTCATTACGCTGTTCTTATCTGTGGCAAACACTCCGACGCCATAAATTGACGACGAACGTTCGATTAGCGGTGGCAAATGTGACACCTGAGGTTGCAAATCGAAATACAGAATACACTAACTGGTTGCTGAAAGTAGGATCAGGTGATCTGCAAGAGGAAGTCGAAGCCGATATCCAACTCAAGCATATTGCTCATAAAGTTATCCCTTCGGCATTAACATTCGATGAGGATATAGCCCTTGAGCTGTATGACAAAGCAAATGACATGATTTCTCGAAGCCAATGGAGCAACCTGGCGAGTTATTATGCAGACCGTTGTATCATCACACCGCTGAACAAGTACGTTGGACAAATCAATGAGGATATCTTGGACAGTCTGGACGGAGAGGCCTTTTACTCAAATTCTATCGACGCCAATGACGATTCAACCACGGGTGAACCATTGACACCTGAAATGCTAAACACGTTTGCAGTGCCAAATTTCCCTGCGCATTCCTTATGCTTAAAAGCCGGAATGCCAATTATTCTATTACACAATTTGAACATGAAACGAGGATTGTGCAACGGGACACGGATGGTTGTGACACACGTAGGCAGGAGAATTTTATCGTGCCGCATAATCACTGGGAACCGCGTGGGGAGTTTTATTACGCTGCCCAGAATAAACTTACACCACACAGGTGGTTCAACATGTCCTTTACCATTCTATAGATTCCAATATCCAATTGCGCCAGCTTTTTGCATGACGGTGAACAAATCCCAGGGGCAAAGCGTTGGGGTTGTAGTAGTTTTCCTACCGAGCCCAGTCTTCTCACATGGCCAGTTATATGTTGCACTGTCAAGGTGCACGCGTGCAGATAAGATTATGGTTTGCATGTCACGGGATATCAAAAGTACTGAAACAAAAAACATTGTATTTCATGACATTTTATTATAAAGTTATCATTGGCCGCGCGTCGTCATTATGTAATATATTCTATTGTCTTATGAGGAATTGCAATCTGACCAGTGTAGGTTTTGATTACTAGCAAAGTTGTGTGCTTCTGCAATTGAATCCAAGACGACGCAGATGGCGAGCATCGGCCAAATGAACTTAAGAATTGCACTCTGAATTTGGCAGTCGCTACCGAAATCATTATGTAGAAGGCAGCATTAGTACCTGGGCAAAGCTATTTAAAGGGAATGAAGATCGTGAGTGCCACGGTCGTCGGTCAATCCCGACTTGGCTCTAATAGGAATCGACTTAACGCAATTGTGAAACGAAATGGCTGCATTTCTGAACTCTACAACACAGATTTGCTATATAAGATGTCGGATCAACGTGATTGATATTGACAGCGATTCAGCTATATTGTCATCTAGCTCTCATTATATTTACATCCTAAAGATATGTTACAACCGACGAGGACACTTCAGAAAGGCATTAGACAATACGAACATATGCCTCTGCGCTGCAGCGGAATCTTTAAATTAGAAAAGGAGGTCCGTGATTTTACTGACCGTTGCACTATCGACAGATTCTAATGTCATCTTTTCAGATTCAGGGTTTTTGAAGAAGAGACAGGCTCAGAGTCGCATACCAGTCACGAACTGTGGTGGAAGGCGGTTTAATAACTAACATTCCCTTTGCCGTGATCGATGAAAGCGGAGGCCCCGAGTTGCAAATATCGAAATATTACAAGCTCGAGGGGGTAATTGCGATGGACAACTTCACAGCGCAACAACGAATGTTCCTGATGCGGGACACAGTGAAACCTGTCAGTGAAACAAGACTTGCAACCGAGAAACCAAGCAATGCAATACGCTTTCATGGCCGGGGTATCGTAGTGTCGCATCGTGTTGCTCCGTCAACATACGGCGATGCAAACTATCATGTAGCATGCGTGAGGCATCAACAGTGGGATATGACGGTGTGCAAGCCTCTTTTTATATTACACAGATTG